TTATCGAACCTAATGGATTGTCCGATTTCCGCGAGAATCGCTACTAATTGCAAGATCATTTGTTCCACGTGATTTATGACATACGATTGATAGAATAGAAAACTAATCGTTACACGTTGAAGAACAAATCATGACAAGTAATAATAATTCCTAATTGTCAAGAATCACTTGGTTGAAAATAGAAAAACTGATCTACATTACCGCGCTAGATTCCGCTACTCCTCTGCACTTTAGATACTTCCTCGCGGGCTAGATAGCTTAGACATTAGATGTAAACATCGGTGCATTAAGTGCATCGGTTCCCCTCTGGTCCCGCGTGCGCTCTCTCGAATCGGCCGTAAACGCGATTCTCTAATTGCTCGCTTCGAGCGGTACATCGAACGAGATACTAAAACCCGACGCCCGATTCCCTGAACGTCGGTTATAGCACATGCACAAGTCCGGCGGAGAAGTAACGCTCCGATTATTATTGTTTCTACCGCGGGGGCAATTTACGGTGCCAGCCACGGGAACCGAGGCGCAGATGCGACTCGCGTTATCGCTGTACCTACGATCGTTTCAAACCGTTCGCAGCGTTCAAAGCGTTTGCTCGGAGCAGAAAAATCATTGCCCTCGTATAGTAGTTCCTAGATTAGCAAGTCACTAATGACCCAGCCATTCGTCATGCTACATAATTCTCCTCCCCTGTTTGATACTAATATGAATTATCCGTGCGGCGGAGAACGAGCTCTGCTCCTCTTCCCTTCGCACGGAATATACCGTAATGACCTCTAAAATTAGAGGAGCTCGCCAGTGAAATTCCGAGCCTCGAATTCGTACGAATGACCCAGAATCCCTGTCTCTAACTTCGTGGGAAAACTAGAACGCGTTCCAGTCATACTGGATCCTCGATCGAACGGCGATCGCCGCAGTGAGAAGAGCCGCGCGAGCAACGGAGCCAGAAACCTATATTTACCGCGAACACGACTGCCTACCGTGCCTGGTTCGCATGTGATCCGCGAGAAAGAAACAGGGACGGAGCACTCCCGCGCAATGCTATTGTGAGCGATACGTGCTCTTTACGAGGTGATACCATTCCATCTAGTGAAACGGACTCGCCCTATTTAACGTGAGGCAATAGGTCGTTCGAGATTGCCAATTTTTATACCAAATGAAACGACCGGTATGAACGTTCAGTGCCATTGAAATCCGGAGCCTCGTTTTATCTATCAGATTTTTATCGGATTCTCGCACCCGTCTCGGAACCCTGACCGACATCCGACTAGACGAGATTGCATCAATATTCTCACATTCATTGATAAATCACGTAGTTACTGCCAAGCTTGCATAATAAATATTATTTGAATAATTAAGCAGGATTGAATGCGATACACTACGAGGCATGCAGCTGAAACCCCATGCAACTCGTGTGGTAATTACAGTAACTTATTAGCAACTATTACGTACGTTTATTTGTTTCGCTATTAAATCATACAATGTGGTAACTTTTAGTTATTAATTGACCAGCGGCGCTACCTCAGGCGACGGAACGTAGAAAAAGTCACGTGAAGAGGAAAAAAAGAAATGTATTTATTACAGTAAGACGTTTATAATCTATTACTCATTGTACACATTTTCTATTTGATTTCAACCATTGTAACATAAAGATGATTGTCTTTTCATACATCGTCGTTTCGTAATTACTGTATCAATATTTTCTCTGCTTTCAAAAGGAAAGAAAGGAATACTAACATTTTTAAAAGCCCGTCAGCTATTACAACACGTGTTTTGCAATTACTCTAACCGAACTCCCGCGATCGAAAACAAAAACACGTAACGCAATAATTGAATCTAACGCTACCGTAATTTATATCCCAGCAATCTGGTTTCTATCATTTGCCGTGGAAAATTCGTGTGATCAAGATATATCTAAAATAGAAAGTGAAAGGCATCTGATATTGTGTAACTTGTCATTGATATACCAACAATTATACTATTTCATATCTATTAAGAAGAATCTGAAAAGAGTCCCATTCGCGGCGGACGAAATTTGATCGCGAGCAAGAACGTGCTTCCATTGAGCAATGCTAATTCTGAGAACAATGCTTCCCAGAAAAGTACGAGACCTCGGTTCATTGAGGAATCACTGTAACTCGACACGTCATAGTAAGAAAAACTACGCTACGTGTTACGATCTAAATACTCGATAAAGTCGAGCTCTTTCGGGCTGGCAATAAATGTGTACGTGCGTGCGCGTTGTTTACATTTTGATAGTTTCTTTCTATTTAGGAAGCCGAGGCAAGGCTGTGCGAATACAAGTGAAACTCTTTATTACAGGAAACTGAATAACTATCCATCTGTTTCATATCATAGCTACATACATAAAAATATAATTGATACATTACGCTTTATTTTCAATACTTTTATAGTTCTATAATAATTTTTAAACAAATGTTACGTTTTTATACGATTGAAGAATAATTTGAATATTAATTTAATAACACAGTTTCAACAAAGAACTGCATATATCAGGACTATGAAAATTACATTGAGTCATGTTAGCCAATCTCTCTTAGCATCTCGAGACCTTCGATTCGAACATCGTCTGTTTCCATTGCGATTGCCATACAGTGGAGCTCGATTCAATTAGAATTCGCGTAGCGCGCTAGATAGTACACGTTGTACACAACTACGTGCCACAACGATCAGTATTCAACAAGTACAGTCTTTCCATATACAAAAACCTGAGACTGGCTTTCTTGCCTCCATATTTTTGATACAGGTGTCAGGTACTTTACATATATTTTAATTACAAATAGGTTGGAAACAAATCATTTCTGGTAGGAAGACTGGAGTAGGATGTGACGTTAACCTTCGACAACGCGAAGAAGAAGCAGCCCACGGATTTACTGACGAAAAGGTCAAGGCTCTCGAGACAGTATATCGAGCCGATGCCAAGGTCGACGCGATGTAACACTGAAATGAGCTTTTCATTGGGAAATTGGTTCACAGTGTCTATGAATTATGTAATCCAAATATCTGATTGAAATATATTCTTTTTGTGCTACACGTTGAAGAGACGAGAAAGGAAGAAAATTTCGATATGATTCATTTTATTTGTGTTTAGATTTCTTAGATGTGTTTCATTTATTAAACGTACAAGCTGTGCGTTTAATAAAAGTAAGAAACCTGCATCGGACGCAAATTCCTTCCTTTATGCGTCTCGTTTGACTCACTGTTCAAACACGAGATATTCCAGTAAGCTAACCACTCACAGACATTTTCAGAACGTTTCAGTGGTCAATGCCTTTCGTTAGCCGCATACAGTAAGACTCAGAACCAAGAATATGAATATAAAAGTGAAATTCACTTAATATTTCTGTAAAATGTTAGTTAATAATAAAATTATTAAATTGCTGTACAATTTGTTTTCCTTATATCAAACATGAGTGGAATACCTGTTCAGCAAAAAATCTTACTTCGAAGTGTACTTTTAACTCTTATTTATTGCACGATACTAGTCAGCAAACAAGAAGGTAGAAACGAGGTAAGTAAACAAAAAACACGCGATCTTCCTTTCTCGATAGAAAACAACGTTAAGTGAGGAACAATGAGGAAAATAGTAGAGGTCTGCGTGTGAGAAAAACTCTGAGAATGTTTAGCGTGCCGTTAATTGTGAACACGCACATATTATTCATAATTACGAGCACTCAACTGCAGAGCTCACTCGTAAGTACAATATACAATTACCACATTGAAATATGGCTTATCAATATTGTCAGAGCGCGAAGGTTAAATGAGGAAATAATTATTAATTAAAATTAATTCTCACTGTGTTGCCTACATTTGAAGATGAAGAAATTCTATCCGTGTCATAGAATCATCAAACTAAATTGATATTAAGTGTTCCTAAAACAGTACGATTGTGCAAGCATGAAATCATCAATTATTATAAGGAAGAGAACGATGTAAAAAATTAAATTACCTCAGAAAACGTTTCATTTAATAATCTATAAAATTAGATGAATTTTATCTTTGAAACATTTCATTATTTTTAATGATAAAATAGTTTTGGATTGATATCGAAATGCAAGCTTTTGCTCGGTAATGTACAATCGAATCGGAGATGCGCGCATCTCGTGCTGCGATATCCCGTTGCGAGCTCGTTTCTGCCGGTACGCAGAGTACGTACTTATGGTTACTGCTGAATCGCGGTCTCGCGAGCAACACACGAATAGCTACCGCAGATCCGGTAAGGATCGTTATCTCTCACTAGCCCTAGTAAAAAAAAAAGAGACGTGTCCCGTTAAAATTCGCGAAGATTTGCTTCCTTTTTTCGGATTGAAATCGCACCCAGTTGTAAACACGTTGCCCGATTTACTAGTCACGTTTTCACTCGATTTCTGTCCCTTCTGTACCAAATTTAAAAGGCAGGTAGAGATCAACAATAAATATAGATAAATTTTAGACAGACATTAAAAATCACGTAAAAATTTCGTAATCTTTTTTACTTAATAATAATTACCGAGTGAATAGAAAAGTTTATTCAGAATAACAGTTTTTGAATCTTGATTGACAGATAAGGATTAAAAAACGGTATTGCGTGAAACCAGAGATATTTTTAAGACTAACGTAACACGCGTTCACTGACTCTTCTTTTAATTATGCGAACGGTGAGATCGATGCAAGGATTACGCTCGTGTTATGTAAGAACTGTGTAATTTCTATTCACATGGAGAGTCTCCGGATGGTTCACGGTTTCGAAAAGAAAACCGGAGAGTGTACAGTGTGCACGAAGGAACGAGAGCCTAACAGGCAGGTGCACGATTAAACGCGGCGTGGAGGTCTGCTCGGATCCGCAGGAAACGACCACGGCTCGCAAGTCGGAGTAGCTTGGAACGTTTCGGAGCCGTTGTGTCGAGGAATTCGAAGGGATCGCGGTACGTATTCCGCGGCAACTGCCAGCGGACTGACAGCTGCTGGAGATGGGACGGCGAGACGTAGAAAAATTGAGACAGTACCTGTAAGTTCGCGGATTCCCACCTGTTGATTCAGCGTCGGCTGGCCTTCCTCGCGGTTGCTACGCGCGGGCCTGGTTCCAGCGGACAAAGCGTTATCCAGGATGACGACCGGTCGCTGGGTATTCGCAGCGAGTACACAGACGGCAGAGAGGGTACAGACGATCCGTGATACCGTGGGAAGAACAGAGACCGAACGAGCACATCCACTGATACACGCCACGGCACACAGCACGTTAACGCGCCGGTTTCAATCCTCCTGCCTCTACCGCGGACCACGTGTGAAATTCTTTCTCGCTGCCGGGGTGGGACTAATAACGTGCGGGTGGGTTCACAGTGACGCGGTCGCACGGCCAGGTGAAACGTCAATACGCGAGGAGCAAGCGTCCTTCGTAGCGTCTCGTGACGACGGCGTAAAGGACACCGTCATTCCGAGATTGTGGAACGACCCACGGACCAAAACAATCCACTCCGCGCGAGCACCGATGCACGACTGTAGCCGAAGTCGCGCGAGCCTGAGATCGCCGCCGAGCAGAGGAACCGAGCGGCAGCGAACCCGGCCGAGCTGCCACGAAGCCGACCGATCGCCGCCGAACCGGCGACGATGGAATGCGCGCGAACGGAAATCAAGCGGGATCGGGATCAGAATCGGGATCGGGGCTCGCTCTCGAGCTCTCGGGATTGGGCTTTGGATTTGCCGGTTCGAACGCGATCCAAGGCAAATGACCGCTCTTCCCCGCTTCTTTCTTTCCGTCCACCGAGCGGCCCTCACCGGCTGCTATAATCTACGTCTATTATCCTTCTTTCTGTTTCTTTATTCCCTATATACCAGCCTTCCTGCCCTCCTTCTTCCTTCTCTTGTTCGCAATTGTTGGTATCCTAGTTTGTTGTGATAGCAACCAGAAATGAACTTCTTACTTTAGAATTTCATGTACACATCCTAATTTTTGTTCACGTCACAAATTCTATTCACTATTTTTTTATAATTTTAAAATAACATAAAATTATAGGAAAATACGCCTATGAGTAAAAATTGCGAGGTGAACAGAATTTGGAGATTTACCTTAGTGGTACAAAAATGATTTGAATTTTCTGTCATGGAGTTACAGTCATTAGATACATTCGAAGAAGGACCATTTTGCAATCGAATTAACAGAAAGCAATATTTTACCGCAATAACGTCCAATCCACTAATTAAGTATATTAATAGTGGATGTAGCAGATTCTTTTTTGAAAAAAGGATGACAGAATCTCTTTCTTCGTGTAGCGTTTGTTTCGCTGCGTGTCTCATTTGCATATCCAGGAATGTGAAATTGAAGATGATAAATAAGAGCAGAAGCCGCTTAATGGCGAAACCCGGTACCTCTGGCATGGTAGCCACGACGGGGAAGGGTTTGCCTGGAAAAAAAATTCCTGACGTATCGCGTACACGCGAGACGATACATTTCTTTTCCGTCAAATCGAATGTTATCGTTAATCACATCGGATCCCCGCAACGAAGATGAAGCGACTTAGCGTCGAATTCGCATTAGCGCGAGAGATCTTGCAATTAGAGTGATGCTTAAATTACGCGGCACGCTTTTTAATCAGTCTCGCCGCCAGAAAGTGTTAATTTCAAAATTTCAAAGGATTAAGGGAAATCAACTCAACCTATGTATAAATATATCGTTCCGTATAGTAGAAAGCGCTATCTCGTTCTAATGAATCTTCTAACGCGGGTACCTGTTTGTACGGAATTGTTCCACGTGGGCGACAATATTTCTGAAACGTACGTTAACGAGCATTATTTAAATCTAATCTCGTAATCGCATCGTAAACGTTGTTTCATACGTAATTTCACCTCGTCGCCAGTATCTCGCGGCGAAGTCGCACGAAAGCTACGATGAAGCGAAATTCGATGATAACGGATTACAAACCAGGCGGACCCACGGAGATGTTTATCGCCGAGACATCGGTGGCCCTGCCACAAAGAGATGTACATATCTCGATACCATAAAAATCGTCGCGTCCTCTCTCTCTCGGTTCGGTTCACCCACGCGGCGACCGGATGCCATAAAATCTGGCTAAAACGCGGCATTCAATTGCGTTTATTACATATTTACGAGGATACTTACATAATGACGCGCGTTTCGGCCCGGCCCCGTCCGACTTTACGAATCCCCCGAGCCATTTACCAATGTGTCGCGAATTTCGCGACATTGTACTTTCGAGAAACACGTACACGAACGTGTAGGTACATACATTCTGGTACGGTAATGGACTTTTGATATTTCTCGCGAAATTCCTTTCCCTCTTTTTTTCAAACAAACCCCAGAAGATATATATACGACATAACTTCGATCAGATTAATGATCGATTCCCGTTCACTTTTGGTAGAAAGTTTCCGAGCACTCCCACACGCTCGGCATTCCTGCAGCTCCTGGTCAGTTCGGAAAAAGAAAAGGAAATTGATCGTGCTCCAAGTTGCACACACGCCGTTACGCATGCCACCGTGCCGCACCGCGTGCAAGACGTTTTTATAAGAGGATCAATCACGGATCAATATGAATATTCTGACGTACCATTGCAATTACTGTCACGGTGTCAATTGAAATATAATATAGTGACAATATAACCGCAGCGATGTTGTTCGTTTTCCATTTATTATATTTACATATATTATTTCTATTCGAAGGACAGTGATAGAGTTTGGCTGGGTTTTAAAAAAATTAAAATGGAACGTGCTATTGAAATGTTGTATCAACTCGGTACGGCCAATTATTTTTGTGACTCACAGTAAGTTATTGTACGATTTCGGTCGTAAAACAATTTTTGTCACTTTTCTAATGGCCTACTGTTGTGCCCGCTGCACCATTCGCAGCCTGCAGCCGCGAAAGAAAGCGAAGGTATGCGCACGCACACGCACTCGTGCCACTGTCTACCTGTATTTAAATCGCTCCGGCAGCGTGCCGCACCGTGTATCTCTCCACGCATTGTACGTTTGTCACGATAGGTACGTGTCACGCACGTGGCTGCTGCCTGTTTCCGATCGTCGACGTGCCCCGCTCTGATTGGAAGCACCGCGGCGGAGAACACGTCGGAGACATAGTTTTCTCGTTAATCACCGTGATTATGTTATTTTCGCGTGACGCAATCGCCACGGAAAAGGCGCCTTTGTACTCTAATCACCAGATTGTATGGGCCAACGATTGCTAAATTCGGAATCCTCTATTCTCTGATTGCGCAACGAGCCTCCTTAAAAATTGTTTTCAGCCTCGGATTGTATCGTCTAGGAATTCAGGCCGGATCATCAATACAAAAAACTTTCTCGTTTCGCAGCGTTTAAGATGAGATTGAAAAAAAGGATGTATTGATACATTCTTTTTTCAATAGATATTCGAAGCCACGAGTTAATTCACTTACAGCTGTAGAATAGAATAAAAAACGTGCTTAAATTGACTTGAGACGTGCAATTAAATATGAACGATACTTTCTAATCGAATCAGTTTTTGAAATTTTATTTAACCAAAGATGGTTGAATGCTTGAGACACATTGAGCAATCTCGTCTGAACAAAATTGAAAGCAGAGTGAACAGTGTGAATTATCATTCAATCGAACTAACGTAATTCTCAGTTGGCTCCCACTTTCTATATTGTTGCAACAACCTCATCGTTCAATCAAACTATACCATGTATTTTAGGTTTGAAAAAAAAAAGAAACAGTTAGATAATATTGGTGAATCGAGGCCAGATATTTCTAAACCGTGATTTATACGAGACACGCGAGACGATCGTAATTCGTATCAATTTGGCTAACGGGCTAGATGCACACCGGAATCGGTCAAATTATAGAAAATGTTGGCACGTGATTTATCTGTGTTCATATCACTCGGATTATGGTTTCCCGGCTGTAGCCGCGCTTTCGCTTTCGAGCGCACCGTCTAATCTCCGCGACACTTCCATTGTTATTTTGACACCCATTGCACGTCAATCTTATTCGCGCAATTTGCCAATCGCGACGTCACCTTTTTCACAGTCGTGACGCGACATCGGGTATAGACGACATTACGACATCCGGTCATTCTATACCTAACCGCATTAAATTAATCATACTCTCCCTGAATTTCATGAAACACACAAATGCTATAGCACGTTTTAAATATTAATAAATCCTTAACTCGTGTGTTTTACCCCTATTTTTCTATCGCGAGGTGAATTTTCGGGCGTGGAGTAAGGAGCAGGCAGATGGAACCACGAGCAAGAGAGAGAGAGAAGAAAGAGAAAGCACGCGTGCGAGCTGATTGCGAGAGACACGCAACAATCGCTGCAATTGACCGCGTAATAGAAACGCGTTATGCAGTCTACGGTGCAGGGGCCGGTAGGATACCGATACCGGTCGACCTTGACGATGGACATGATTCCTTAACGGGCGTTTTCCCTTTTACGGAAGGGTTCCGCGTTCGCGTAATTGCCACGCTGCAGTCCTCCCGGTCGTCGAATTAGGACCGCATGCAAAAACGTATTACCCTTCTGTCCACATCCTTCAACATTCCTGTTCCGATTATTATACCTCAGATACAAAGTGTATTACCATTCGCAATAATTTATATTTCTTACATTTATAATAAGTTTTGATTGTCTGTTGTTCGAAATTTCATTAATACACAACCATTAAATTGTTTGCTATAGTTGTCTAATTAATAAATATCCCAATGATATAGAATATGTAGATAACACATTGATTATGTTTCTTTGGCAGCAATCAGAATTTAAAAAATGTTAAACTTACATCACTGTGCTCTTATTTCTATTCGTTACTTGATTAACCCTGATGATTAACCTTCGTAATCTCATTGTGGGAATAACAAAGCGATCATGACAGATCGATTGTCCCACTTCGTCATGTAACTGTTGAATTAGCATAGGTATAATTATTTCAAACAAGAACAGAGAAATAGTCTGAATGATAATTATAAACGTCATTCAATAGTTTTTTACCAGAAGAATCGATTTTATTATACGATTCTGACTTCTATTTCTAATAATTTGTACATTAGATATGTACATACCTGCAGTTGTCAGATATAGAATAAAGTGCTTATTAATGATGCTTAACTCGTTAAATACTAAAGTTAGAAGAAAGATACATGGAACCTTTCTTGTATACACTTATTTCTTAACCAGTTAAGTGTGTTTGACGACTATATCCGTCATGGAAGAATGGCAGAATTTTGTGTTATGCCCGCTATATCCGTGAATAAATTCATTCATTTTCTAAAATAAAGTCGTCTTTTTGACCCAATATTTCAACAGCGCCACTTACTCTGTGTTTGACGACTATATCCGTCATCGCTTGATTATCGCGACACACACTGAGGCGCATTTTGCAAAATGATCGACACAGTTAACTGGTTAAGGTTCTACTGAATTCATTCATTAAGAGGGTAATTAAATTTGTAGACTTACCATCCATACTGTTGTATTGACAAGAGAGTCAT